ATTTTCACTGCAGAATTTTATTTTAAAACATTTTGAACCTATAGAAAAGTCATAAGAATAAACATCTTTAATGTTTTAATTATTCTTGTTCTTAGGTGCATTTTATCTGGTATTTGAATATATGGATCATGATTTGATGGGACTACTGGAATCAGGCTTGGTTCATTTTAATGAAAATCACATAAAGTCATTTATGAGACAGCTCATGGAAGGTCTGGATTACTGTCATAAGAAGAACTTTTTGCATAGAGATATTAAATGTTCAAATATTCTTCTAAATAATAGGTATGATATATGTGTTCAAAATGAGTATTATAAAATGTATACCTTGATTTTGTTAGGATTTATAATTTAGGTTACAGTTGACCCTTGAACAACTCTGGGCATAGGGGCGCCAAACCCCTCACACACACACACACAGTTGAAAATCTGTGTGTAACTTTTGACTCTCCAAAACCTTAACTATTATAATAGCTTTCTGTTGACCGGAAGCCTTACTGACAACATATATAGTTGAGTAAAACATATTTTATATGTTTTATGTATTATATACTCTATTCTTAGAAAAAAGTAAGCTAGAGAAAAGAAAATGTTATTAAGAAAATCATAAGGAAGAGAAAAGACACTTTACAGTATTTATTAAAGAAAAAAATCTGAAAAAAAATATCTGCATATAAGTGGACCCGTGCAGTTCAAACCCCTGAGGTTCTGGGTTCATCTGTACAAGGTGTGATAAAAAAATACGGTGAATGTTTAAATAAAAATTTATTACAGTAGAAGACACATCGCCATTAATCTCCCTCAAAACACTCCCCCTCAATTCGAACACATTTATCCCTTTGTTCTTGCCACTTTCTAAAGCAGTCTGGAAGTCCACTTTCGTGTCTTTAGATACACTGTTGTGGCTGCCTCCATGTTCTGAATTGATTCAAAACAGTTTACCTTTCATGGTCATTTTGACTGGGGAAGTGCCGGAAGTCACACAGCGTTAGATCTGGTGAATAAGGTGGATGAGGACACACATACACCGTAATGTTTTTATGTGACAGAAATTGCCATATACCAGAAGCCACGTGTGACACGGAGCATTGTTATGGTGGAGGATGATTTATGGCACACTTTAAAACACACCTTCTCTCAGCCGTAGCTCACACCTGACTGACTGCACCGAACAAGTTGAAACTTGTCACACCCTGTTACTAAGGTTCAATGCCCTGCTTTGCGTATTGAAGATTCCTGCCTTTCTTTTGGATGGCACTCGGCAGCAGCATTCACTGTAGTTTTTCATCACACTTTGTATTTCATTGCTCAAACTATTTTAATGTAGTCAACAATATTATAGCTTGGGATATTTCTGAAATTGTGTTAAATATACTTTAGTTAATTAACTTCCAGTAATAGTTTGCCATATACATAAAGTACTTAGCTGACTTTCTTGTTCGTTATTTCAAATAATGTGACTGGATCTTCTAATAATTAATATGATTTTAGCTTTAGTGTCAGAATAGATTTTAGAATTTTTTTAATTTACAGCTTTTTAAAAACATCACAGTTTAAAGTGAACTTTTTTGAAGTGTGTACACACATATATGTACATACATAACATACAAAGCTTATATTGAATATTTTAATGATAGCATAACCTGAACTCTGATAATTCCATCATAATTAGTATTATTTGTTAGTTTAAGTGAAGTATGCCTGGTCCTGATTTTAGTTGATATAAAGTGTTCTATGCACCCAGCCCCTCTAAGAAATGGAAAATTAAACATAAATTTAAAACTGGTTTAGTTCTTGAGCATTATTGACTTGAACAGATAATTTGTCTTATTACTAAATAGTAGACATTACCTCATTTTGTTTATTTTCATTGACATGTACTTTTGTAAATAGGAACTAAATGGTGCTGAAATATTGTTTTGTAATACTACTATAATAATTGTAATAATAGTAAAAATAGTATTATAGTAGCTGAAATTACCCAAAGAAAAGTACTAATTTTTTACCTTATGTTATCCTGACTTTCTACTTGCCTTTATCTAATAGTACCTTGGGTACTGCAGTGTGATTAAAGTTTATTTAAGTGTATTTTTTATTAGCTCTAGGAATAGAATATGAATGTGTATGATCAATTCAAAGTAGACTAACCTTTTGTTCATTTTGTTTACTTCTACCAGAGGGCAGATAAAACTTGCAGATTTTGGACTTGCTCGATTGTATAGCTCAGAAGAAAGGTAAGAGTACTTTCAAATAAATATTGTAGACACTAGAGACCAGTTTTAGAAGCTATAGTAAGAACACCTTATTGATAATTTATTGTTGTAAGGAAAGGGAAATCTACTTTTCATGGTTAAATAAATGGAATAGTAAAAGTTTATACCATAATTGGATTGACAACATTTTACACATTTATCTCAATTTTAAAATACTTTTTTTAACACTTCTAGGTAAATAAAATTTCTTTTAGAATGTGCCATTTTATATGTAACTTAAGTGAACTTAAGATTTGTTTTAGAAATTTATACTTAAATTTCTATTGCATGTTGAGACATTAAGATGTTTGTAATTTTTATATTTAGTGAAAAACCTTAGTATATATGCTTTTTATATTGCATGTTTAAACTTATAAACTTTGTTTTAATTATTATTTTGGACTCCCTTTTTAAAAAATTAGTTATGTCTACAATTTGTTTGTTTTTAGCTCCCTCCCTAGAACCTTTTATTTAAATAAATTATTGTGAAGAAGTTCAGTATTTGTGGCGCTTGACGCTTCTGTTTGTGGCACTTCTCTGGCTAAAGTTGGCATATGTTGCCCACTTTGGCTCCTTTTGTACCTGGTGGTAGTGAAATATGACTTGTCTTATTAGAACTAATGTGTAATTTCAAAATAAAATATTTTTGTGAAGTAGTGGATTTTATGTAAATAAACTTGAATTAACTGAGTTTATTAAAGCTCTAGTTTAGCCCATTTCTTTCCTTTCAGACAGCATTGTTTCTTCATTTTTAGATACATATTAAATCTCACATTTTTTTATGTATGGCAACTCTGATTTCTTTAGTGTAACCATATTTAATATAATGAAATATCAGTTACTTAGAATTCTGAGAAGTAGATATTTACTTTTCACAGACTCTTTGCCAGTTTCTGGTTAGTTGAAAAAATCCTCTTTTGTTTGAATTTTTTAGAGTGAAAAAATCTTTGTTTTGAACCTTGCAGTGCCTGTGATATCATTCTGAAAATTATTTTCATTGTTTAGTGTTTAGAGGTTTTTAAATGGTGTGCTTTGGATCCATTTGTTCCATGAAATCCCTCAGAAACTGTGGTTTGGACAGGTTGTTACGGGCACGGCTAAGGTCACTCTACCTATGTTAGCCAGAGCTTTGTTGGTTTTGTTTTACCTACTCCACTTCCAGTTAATATTTTAAGAAAGTGCCATATAATTGGGTATTTATTTTTTAAGTTTAAAACTATTCTAGAGCTTAAAAGCTATAACCCTCATTTTGCATTTGAGAAAATTGAGACCCAGAAAGGGTTGAGTGACTTTAAAAATAAAAAAGCATTTGTTGCCAGAGTCAAGAATGTATCATTCAAGGTTTCCAACTCCCAATTTTTTATTCTTTCCATCCTATATAATAGTGCCTCTTGGTATAAATTGAAGGAAAAAATGAATTGGTCCAAATGTTTACTTAATCCAAACCTTGACTTGAAGTTTATTTTTTGAATGACTAAATTTCAGTGCCTGTTCTTTAGGAGAAAATTCTGCCTAATTAGAAATCCTGTCTGCTTAGCTGGTTAATTGAGATTTCACTGTAATTAGATCATCCTTTCTTAATACAAGTATGTGTCTGTCATACTTGAAAATAAACCCTTTTTCTTGTTTTCATGTTAGGTTTCAGTGGGGATGGAGAACAGCAAAATTAGCATTTCCCATTTCAGATTCTTGTTATGCAGATATTTGTTCACACAGGAATAGATATGGTCCAGAAAAACTGACTGTAAAGCCAAATTTTATCTATCAAATCTTTTAAAATGGAATGTTGGGTTTTAATTAAGTGCCAGGGTATGATATGGTCCTTGTCCTGCTGAGTTGATACAGGAATTTTGAGCTTAAAGATGCAAGAAATTTAAAATCCTATAACTTTGAGTTTTTAGGTAGTATATACTGAATTTTTCTGCTTAATCAAATTTGTAAGGTAAAATTTGATGTATTAATTTGGTTTTATAAGCAAATACCCTGTCCTTCAGGGGTTTATGTACTCCTTTAAAGCTTTTCTTTTTTCAGATTTGAATAATTTCAGTTTCTTTAAAATCAGTTAGAGAAGTAGGCTTACTTTAATGAAACAACTTTAAAATACATATATTGTTCTAGTAAATTTTAATAACATTGATTTCTAACATACTGAAATCTGCCTTTAACAGATTTACTGTATTGTCCCAAATTTTCTAGATATTCCTTGAAATAAACATACAGCAAATGATTTTTCATTCATATTTCTTCGTTGTCATAAGCAGAAAGAAAGATAGGGGTATACCATAATGCATTCGTCCAAATGTTAAGTCACTTTGAAGTATTTTCTAAGTAATTAGCTATAGACAGAATAACTGAAGTGTTCAAGAAATTATTGTAGGGTGTTTTATTTGTTTCAAAATAGAGCACGTCATCTTACCACTTTATAGCATCATCCACATCTCCCACTCATTTGATTTGGGACGTCTGTTTTTGAATTTGAGAAAAACTGATGGAGTTACAGCTCGTATGTAGGAATTGAACATTGAGGGAGTGTGACCAATATGGATCTCCACTGTCAGGTGTGCTACAATGTAAGAAAGAAGGAAAACCACTGGGTTAAAATTAGAGGGAAAATGATTCCTTTAAACTTGAAGAAGCATTTTCTCATTTTGAACATCACTATTCATACTTAGTCCCATTTGGCGTTGGGAAATACTGAACTTGAGAACAGAGGTTTTTGCCTCATTTCTTCATTGCCTGGTTCATTTTTTTCAGTAGCTGTTTTAAGTCCAACTTTTCCTGAGACTTTAGTCACAATGATATATCCTCTTTGGAGTTTTTATTTTAACAAGTGGTCGCTCCAAATGCTTTTCCAAATGATGGGAGTAACTGTTTCTCATTGTTATTGTGCCATATGAAAAAGTATTGCTTTCCACATAAGGTGAAATTAATTTCTTTTTCTGGAGAAGAAACTATAACTTATCACAATTTACTTTTTTAATGCAAGGAACATAAAACCCTTTAGTCCTGAATTGGGAAACTTTGGCTCTAGTCCTGGCATTAGCATTTAACTAGTTGTGGAATATTGGGCAAGTCTCTGTAGACCTCATTATTCTCAACTTTAAGATGAAGGACTTAAAGTCTCTAAAAATCCTTATTTATAAGGTATTGGAAAACATCTTTCATGGTTCTAAAAATTAATGTGATCAAAACAAGCCTTTAGAACATTTTTGAAGGCCGTATTGCCATCTAGTGGCTTTTCATAAAATTGCCATTAAAAGCAAAACTAAATTTTTCCAAAGCTATGTGTATAGGTGTTAATGGCGGAGGCAGACGTATTATTATTACTTCTTGCTACTTGCCCAAGGACTAGGTGAGATTATATTCAGGATCAAATTAACTCCCTTAACACTGGTTTTTACATGTGTTACTGTCTTTTCACTCGAGCTAGAATTGTAGTTATTTTAAAGTGCCTTTTAAACTTTTGTACTTTATATGCCCTGAACATAAAATACATTCATAGTAACTGTTTCATTAATTTTGATCTGGAAAAAGGTCATGCTGATTTGGTGGACCCTGCTGGTACAGATTAGTGCAGGGAGCTCTGGGGCTTCTAGGTCACACAGAAGGATCTGGGAGACCCTGGGCAATATTGGAACCTTGGTAATATAAAGATCACTCAAAACATGAATAACAATAAATAACATCACTAAACAAGCTTCAGGAATGGAAATCTCATTTAGATCACTGATTTAACTGTAAGATCAAGATTAAATTGCACATCCTTTGGCCCTAATGGAGTAGGTTACATTTTGAGCATATAAAATGGGAAAGGCAATTTAATTCTTTAGGGCACTGTGTTACCCCTCCTCATGTAGGGGGATCTTATTAATTCCCATAATGCTGCAAACTTACAAATCTGAATTTCAAGATCTTTTTTCTGATCTCTAATCCTGTGTGTTTACTGGACATCTAGACAATCTAGGTATCTTAAATTAAACATATTGTTACAAAACCTATCTTCACATTCCCCAGAAAAACTCCTGTTCCTTTTCCTTTATTACCCACTTTAGTTAAAGGTATCCAGTCACTTCTCACATATAGACCATTACAAATAAGATTTAATTCATTTTCTTGCCTTTGGTCTTTCTCCCTAACAGTGTTTTCTCCTGCCATTCTTATCAACTATCATCCCCTGCCCCCCTGGATAATAGTAAGATTGAACTATTTGCAGTTTAGTAAACAAGCTGAGCTCTTGGCTATCTTGTGAATCTGCATAAGTTGTTTCCTTTTGTATGGAATTATACTTCACATTACCTCGGTCGGACAGATTTGTGATTTTCCTTCAATGTGCAGTTGGGCAATACTTCCTTTGAAATCTTCCCTGAATCCCACAGGCAACACTGGGCACATCTTCATTTATGTGTTCAGAGAAAAGTATTCATTATTTTATATAGTACTTGGAGTATATTATTCTAATTTATATCTATATTGCTCCCAGAATTTTAAGGCTCTGTCTAAACAGTTACACCCATTGTCAGTTGGCTCTTCGGTCCAAGCATCTGTTAGTGCTTAGTGCAGTGCCTAGCTCAGAGTTTCAGTCAGTATTTGTTTATAAAGAAAGGAACAAACTTAACTAGCATTTGTGCATGGTACTTTATTCTATATAGTTCCCTTTCACAAGAATTATTTTAAGAGAAAGCTGTCCTCTGCAATGGGTGGTGTAGATATCATTATTCCTATTATGAACATTTTAAAGATAAACTGAAATTTAGAAAACTTAAGTGTATGTTCAAGATCACACAGTTAGTAAGTGGCAGAGCTAAGTGAGAATTAAAGTTGGATCTTTTGTCAGAAAAGCTGTTTGTTTTCATTATACTAGAGTGCTTCCCTGTTAAGACTCTGGATCTAACCTTGACTACCTAAAAGTATCTTCCAGGTGGAGAGCTCTAGGGGCCTCTGAAGTTGGCTTTGGAGATACCACTAGGCTGATGGCAAATAAT